AGCTCCTTCACTGAATAATAACAGTTTTATACAGAGTTTTCATACTTCTTGGAAAGTCCAGTCTGGGGTTAAGAAGAACTAGGGTGAATGGAAGAGTAGGAAGTTTAGGTCAAAAGACGTGACACTCTGCAATTCTTCTGACTATATTATCCCTGTAGATGAAGCTGTTCGAAGACTTGGTTTCATGACCAGTGTATGCCAACATAAATTTGAATTTATAATGAAAAGATAGTCTGTTACTTACTCCTCCTGAGCTGTGATTTCTACCCTCTTCTCCTTGTCAGCATGACAATTCATCTCCGCTCTATCAGGTGTTAAATTTGACTGACTACATTGCCCTACAAATGCTAAAAAGGTGACACAAGGGAGAGGAAATAAACACTTGTTCAGGGGTTAGCAGGGTGCTATTCTGGTGGGAGAAAACTTCTCAAATCTTCTATCTGGTTAAACTGGTGGTGAATTGGTAGGGAAAATGGCAGGGGCTATTTAATTTACAGTGCTTCATCACTGTTCTGTTTCCAGCCCAAGTTTTGAACTTGGGCTTTCTGCTTGTTCAGAGAAAACCCTATTCAGCACAAATAATTTTAATTGAGTATGTAAATGCCTACTTGGATCTTGACATTCTGTATTTACATTAAGCAGGGGAAGAGTTAAGTGTTTTGAATCCACAGAACAATAAAAATGGGCAGAGCAAAGGGTATGAGGAGAACAGGAGACTCAAGTAAAGGAAGAACCATGAAGAATGTGTTCAGATTTGATCCATGAATTACAGGCACTAGTTTCTTATATTGTTGATAGAACTGAACATTTTTCTGATAAACAGATTTCGGTTTGATAATGGATTTGGTAAAATAATAATAGCAACCTGGTATTCTAATGAGAAGAATAGAAAAGCAATAAACTATGGATCTTCATAGCTGCAAGTTTTGTTATTGCTCAAAAAATCTATGGATGGACGACTGCCATTAAAAAGTTTGTAAGAAAAATGTGTGAGCAAGATTTGCCTAGTAAGCCAGCATGAGCTGAGAAGAAAAAAAGAGTCAATATATGTGACATTTTAAAGGTATTATGGAAGATCAGAAATTGGTACATTACTCCTAAGAACTGTGGTGCAAAACTTACAAACCAGCTATTGCTTGATCAAGAGTCAGCAAGAAAAACATTGCCATGCAGCTAAAGACATTTTGAAATAAATATAAAATCTCATGAAGGGATTTGCAGGTTGCTTGTCAGCACCAGTGTTTAATCATGCAATATGCAAAGTTTGTCTGCATCTAAAATTTAAAAAGCCAGGACAAAAGATTTAAGATAACATAAATCAAAATATTTAAAGCACAGGAAATAGAGAGTAACACCTCCCACATCCAAACATCAGTCTTTTCCTACTACACTGCACTAGGTATAGGGCCAGGTTTTGTCCTGTGTTTTCTTCAGTACAATATGAACTCTCATTCCATTGAGACCCACCACTGGGAGCTGCTAGGTTGCCAATTTAGGAGACTACTACAGATGAAGAGATCAGGGTCTCTTCTTTCTGTGCTAACTCTGCAGCTGGTCCAAGCAGACAACAGCAATAGTCCCTCTTGCCTCCAAGGAGGTAACTTAGGAAGGGGTTTATACTGCGTTTGCTAAAGTTACTTTCCGCTCAGGAGAAAAGGCTTTACCCAGTCTGAGACTCACGACATTAAGTGCACATTTTTGCATCTCTGTACAGCAGATGGCTGTTTAAGAGTGTCTTTTGAAGTGCTGGAGAAGAATGTTCCTATCTGGTAAAAAGTTGAAAGCTGACTGAAAAAAGGCTTGTAGTTGGCTGTTGGATGGACTTTAAAATAAAATTCATTTAAATGGACTTTCAAAGTCCATTTAAAGCTCAAGTTTATTAAATTTACTAAATTTGCATTTACACTTGTAAAGACAAGGCATGAAAGTCTGTCTCTCCTTCTTCTGCACTCTGTTCATCCGCTATGTGATCAGAAAAGATCTAATTCTCCAGTCTCTGGCAGAAGCATTCCCAACCACTGAAGTATGCTGCCTGGAACTGTGTGCGAGACACAGCCCTTTCTATTTCTTAGCTGCTAGCTGTAGTTTCCTAATTTTTCACAGCCCTGAACGAGGTGAAGGGACAGATTGACATGCAAAGCTGGTAATTGTTGTGTTATGAAGACTGCATCTGTTGGCTAGGAGGAAAGGAGACAACACAAGTCTTTGCATCATTTTCCTGGTAATTGCAAGGGGAATGTTCTGCCCAATCCCTTTTCAGTACAACAGGATTTGTGAAGGTTTTGTGTTCTCTTTCATTTCAAGATGATGTTCACAGCTGACCTACAATGACACAAAATTTAGTAGCAATGAATAAAACTTATTGGAGAGATGTGAACTGATATTCTCATTACCTACCTTCACTCTGCTAGACATAACACATTCTGGGACAGCTGTCCCCCTCATGAGGATTTAAAAGCAATTTAAATGTCAATGCAAACTCCTTGGAACAGAAAGTCTCAAAGGAAACCAGATGACACCAACATGAACTACAAAGTTCACTGCCATCCTCTGAGATACACCAAAACTCAAGATATGTCTCACTAGAAACAAACATTTTGGGCTGTTTTGAAAATTAAATAAAATAAAATTCTACAGAATGCTACCACTTTGGAATATCTTATTCAAATTATCCCAGTTTTGTATACAAACATCAAAGGCTGGCTCTTGAGGATGTCCTCAGAGAAACAATCTCCTTTCATGTGTGGGAGGACAGGAGGCTCTGGCAGGCTAGGGAAGTCCTTGATTAGATTGCAAAAAACATTGTGCTGCTGGTAAATTCCTAGAATAATAGAGTGCCTTGTCTGACTAAGAGAAAACCTCAGGGATAACAAACCTTTCAGTCCTAGAAGACTCCAGTAAATGAAATATTGTATGCTAACAGAACGCCTAGTGCCTGGAAAGCACCAGCACCTCCTTCCTGGATGTTTTGTCAGAGTTTAGGTATCCCTCAGCCTGGTCACAAACAGATCAGCCCTCTCAGGAGTGTGAGATGCCTTTTAAGCTCCTAAACTTTCAAATCAGCCAATCTGGCATTTGTAGCTAAACTTCTCAGGCAACTAAGGTCTGTACCTGTCTGTAATGTCAGCTCTCCTGCTGCACTGGGTTCCCAGCCATAGCAATGTACCTGGCTACATGCTACACTAGCACGTTGTAAAGGCAGCTGTGGTCAGCGTTTGCTAGTGCTGGGGCATGGCATGAAGCGCAGTGTGTGGGTAGGTTGTTTGCCCCCCCAGGACACTGCAGTGGAGCCTGCTGCTATCTTCTGCAGCCCAGTGAGCACTCATGGTCTGCACCAAGAGGACTCCACTTGACCTTGAAGATGTTCCTCAGGCTGGACAGTGCCAAACATCGGTGAATTTCACTTCAAATAAGTACTTCATAATGGCTAGCTGCAGGCTTTTCCTGCAGAGAGAAATAAAGCCACAAAAGTGTTCCACAATTCCATTGGCAGAGGTGTCTCCTACTGCTACAGGGCAGCAATATCACTCATGCATGCACAGATCACTAATTTGCCTCGTCTATAACACTGTGAAGATCCAACCTGGGAACAAAGCTCCCTTTAAAAATGCATACAAAGGGAGCATTGGAAATGAATTCAATTAAAAATGGCTTTGAGATCCAGATTTGCTGGAAAGGTATCACAGGGATTTCTGTATTCTGCTGTCACGTTACTTTCAGAAGTCAGGTCTTTCAGTATCTTGCTACTGTGAACTTGAATTTTGACTGTTTATCTTACACCAAGCTCTTATACAGTATATTTCAAGGCAATTTGTGTAATGCTGAGTATTTAGTAAAATCAATTATCTAACAGCCAAGTAGTCCCAACCTTAGACGTTTTAGCAATTAATTTACTTGGCACATAAAAATAAGACTACAACAGATATTTCTGGAACCCCAAAACGCTGGTCAAATGTTCAGAGGTGATTATTAATCAGGGGGTGGTGCAGTTCTCATCATTCCAAGGATCTCACTTTCAAGAAGTGTTCAGTAAAACGCCCTGTGAAAAACATGGCACCCGTAATTACGACTTACTTAAAACATTTAAGCTTCCTGGTGATGACAAGCAACACCTACTTAGCACTGTGCTAAGTAGTCCCTGCAGCATGACTTGGAACTGCGTCTGTGTTGAGCATTGGCACTTGGCAATGTTTAAATTGAATGGGTTTTATTTCTTTCCTTTTCCCCCCCAAACAATTGCTTCTTTCTCTAGCTAAATTTTTAATGGACCTTAGGCAACCGGCTGACAAGCAGGAGACATTTTCTAGCAGCACATAACCCCACCTCATCCTGAATAACATAGATGAATAGAAATAGACAGCACGTCTATGGATATGAATGATGTGGGGAATATCTTTAAGGCGGTACACGGCCGTGAAAAAGCACACACTACATCCACTGCGGTCCTTCCCTGAGCGGGGACACGTCCGCTGGCACGGAATCCCGGCTGACCACCGCAGGGGAAGTGCGCCCAAAGCTGAGGGGACCCCGAGAGCCGCTGTGGTAGCGGCCCGGCGCGGGAAGGGGGCGTGAGGAGAGCCCAGCGAGAGGCCTCGGGCGCGGGGGGAGGGGGAGGTAACAGCACCGCGGCCCTGTGCCCGAGCACCTGCCCGCTGCCGAGGGGCTCTCGGCCCGGGGCGGCAGGACGGGGCAGGGCAGCACAGCACAGCACAGCACAGGACAGGACAGGGCAGGGCAGGGCAGGGCAGGGCAGGGCAGGGCAGGACAGGGCAGGACAGGACAGGACAGGACAGAGCACGGCGGCCCGGCCTCCGCTCCGTGCCTCGGTGCCTCCCTCCGGCGGCGCGGGCGGGGCGCTCTGCGGGCCGCAGTCCCCGGCGGGAGGTTGTCATGGTTTCCCGGGTCACATGTGTGCGAGGTTCCCCCGGCGCGGGGGGAGGAGGTGCTGCCGCCGAAGCTGCCAGCGAGCCGCTGCCCCCCGCGGGCCCGCCCCCCGCCCGCTCCCACCTGCGCCGCCGCCGCCGCCCGCCCCTTTCCCGTTGCCCACGGGCGATCCGCCGGGCGCGCCTCGTCACCGGGCTGTGGACCCCCGGCCCCCGCCGCCGCCCGCGGGCTCTCCCCCCCTTTTCCTCCTCCTCTCCCCTTCCCTTCTCCCTCCCCCTTCTCAGCCAGGCTGCGCCCCCCTGGCCGGCCCCGGCATGAGCATCTCCATCCCGGCGGGGCTGACGGAGCTGCTGCAGGGCTTCACTGTGGAGGTGCTGCGGAGCCAGCCCGGGGACCTGCTGGAGTTCGCCCTCCAGTACTTCGGGCGCCTCAAAGAAGAGGCGGCGGCGGCCAAGGCGGCGGCAGCAGCGGAGAAGGAGGTGAGCGGCCGCAAGGCGGGCACCCCCGCGTCCGGCCATGACAGGAGCAGCCAGCCGCGCCGGGCCCCCCTCGACGCCCGCGGGGTCAACTTCGTCGACGAGCCCATGCAGACCGACTCCGAGAGCGGCGAGGAGGAGGAACGGCCACCGCCGCCTCCGCCGCCACAGCAGTTCCCGGGTAAGGGCCCCCAGCCTGGGGTCGGGAAGCAGCGGGCAGGGCGGGTGGGCTCCCCCGGCGTCCGGGCTCAGGTGGGGAGCGCAGGGTGCGGAGGGGGCTCCCGCTTCAGCGGCCTCGTGGTGGCCGCGGGTCAGTGCGGGGCTGGTGGCGGCGGGACGTGAGGAGCACGGTGGCCGCGGTGATCGGAGCATAAATGGGGAGAGGCGGCCGCCGAACAAGCGAGCCCACGGGAGGTTTCCCGTCTCCCGCTGCAAACTTTTACCTCCCGGGCTTTGCCCTTTTGTTCAGCAGCGCTGGATGTTGGGCACGCAGGTATCGCCAGCGTCCGCAGCCGTATCTTTTATAGCGTATGGGTCTGTGGTAATCCTAACAGGAGATCTCTGTTTCCTTTTCCTAAGAGCACCAGAGAGCAAATCTACATTTTGTAATTAGTCCAGTGGCATGTTTACCTTAGAAAACACCTCTAATAGGCATGTTACTGTATTTACACACTTGATACCTCACATAGATACCTCACATGATACCTCACATAGAGGTACTTACATGCGTTTCAAAAAGTAGAGCACAATTTAAAACATAATTGTTTCTTGAAACCAAGGGTGAAATTTTCTACACGGTAGAATGGCCTATGGAGCAAGTGTAGCTGTGAAGACAGCAAAGAATCTATGCGGTATCTTTGTGTTCGAGAGTAACACCTATCTGCATGCAGCTAATGATACCTTATCTTTCTGTGGCTGACGGGCTTTATTTAGAGAGGATGTCAGTCCATCAGACGGTCTGATTCACGGGACGAGTAGTAGCTGTCTTTGAAGGGTGTGTAGTGCTTGTCTTTGTGCTGCGAACAGGGTCAGTCAGTGCGGTTAGAGATGGAGATGTCAGTCAGTAAGGTTAGATGGAGAAGAGAAAGCATGCAAGCACCTTTATTGTTAGCTTATTTTTTTTGAGAACAGCTTGAAACTGAAGTGTATCTCATCAGATCACTGAAGCATTCATCCCTCCAGGTCATGCTGGAGGTAGCTTTACTTAGCAGAGCACAGAAGCCAGCTGTTTGCTAGATGAATATCAGTGCAGTTTTTGGAATAATGTCTCGTGCATTTTATCAAGAAAAATGTAGATGTTTGAGAACTGGGTGAGTTTTCTAAATGCTTTATGTTACACCATAAGACAGCCGCCATTCTTTCATCTGTTCTTTGCAGCTATACCATATGCATTTAATGAGAATTTGAATCTGTCAATCAGGTTCTGCAGTGTTAGAGCTCAAAATTACCATGTAAGTCTGATGATGTGAAATTAGTAAAAATCTGGAAATTTGCTGTTTTTGAAAGCTGAAATGGTGATAACGTGGAAGAACAAATTATTATCTTAATTCCCTAACACTAAACATGGTTTTCAAACATGAATTACTGTAACACTGAGCAGACTCATTGGTGAATGGAGAACTGGAATGGTGAATGGAGGGAAGTGCAGAAACGTAGCCTGATTTATTAGTGTGTAGTGTTACATCTGTACAACTTTACAGGATGCAGTAAGAAGCTTTAAAAGCTTTTCCAATTTATACCTCTAATCAAGATTCTCTTGATATTCTTTTTGTTGTGATTGTGCAGAATAGCCATTACTTCAATATTTGCATTAAGACATGTGCTAGAAGGACTTAGTTTAACTGATTGATATATTAAGTTGACAAAACCCCTTTAAAATACCACATTTTTAAGCCTAATAAATTTTGAAAGTTTAATTGTGTTATGGCCTGTAATTTCTGTCACTTGAAATAATTAACCATTAGAAGTAACAAAAATGGAGATACTTGTGAAACCATGTTGAGGGTGCATAGTAAGTTATAGTATGTGATTACTAATAGTGTGCTTGTGTATGCGTGCATTGTGCAGGAGTATGTATTTTAAATTCAAATTTTATGTCTGCCCTGAATATGTATTCTTTTAAGGTAATGTAACAATGCATCCACTCAGTCTTTCGTTAATAACTGGAGGCATAAAGGCTTGTATTCAAATCATTGTTCCATGGGTTTAAATACCAATTAAAAAGCATATTTTTATTGTACCTTTGCTTTCAATTTCTGTAGGCAGCAATTCTTGAACTTAATTGGGGGGGGGGGGGGGGGGGGAAGGGGCAGAATTTTCATTTTTTTCTTTTGCTTTTATGAACAATCAAACTGCTTCTTTATAGTCGATTTGTCCTGTACATGTCCTGAACTGCTCTCATACAAAAGAAAAAAAAAAAAAATGGAAGGAAAACAAATTGAAGAAGTTTATAAGCAAATGTTAATATAAAAATATCTATGAAGGAGCTCAGACCTGGTGGTGGATCTTTTCTTTGTTAAAGCAGTATGCTTGAAATGTCAAGCTGACTTCTTCAGTTAATTCAAGCAGGACATTGTTGAGAGCTCCTTGCAAATTCTGTTGTCTCCAACACCCCTCCCAACTTGTTTCTAAATACGTACAGGCATTGCAGTTGAACTCTTTGTCAGTGTTTGTTTTGTCCTTGAAATGCATTTTGGAAGGTACATCAGCACTACCTTGTTCAGAAATGAGGAACTCACATAAACTGTGTTTAAAAGGCTATGCTCGGGATTGAATCCTATGTGAACCGTGAATTAAACTGCGTCCAGGTCCTCTGCTTTGTCCATTACATCGGTTACGGAAATCAAATACAGGTAAAAGCAGTTACCTTCTCTGGAGGGAGAACTTTTTGTATTGGTGTCATAGTTCTAAATTGTCACCTAGAGTTAAGGTGACCTCTGAAATTAAATTCTTTAGGCTCAGAGCATTTAGACCATTCTTAAGCACTGCTTAATTTGGGAATGATTTTTAGGTCTTCTAGTTGTGTTTTTTTGCAGGCTTGAAGTGCATTGTAAAATTTGGAACACTGTATCTGCAAAATTTGGAAATGCTGAGTAAGTTTTCTGTTCTTTTACAAGTGACTTTACTTTTCTCTCTACCACCTAAAATTTATTTTGATGGATAATAACCCATGTCATCTGTAACAGCTGTTTTTAAATATTTGCCATAGCTAGAAATTCATATTTCATCTAGCTTTAATATGAATTAGTAGAGATGTTTTTAGAAGTAACATTGCTGTTCTTGAAACTAAAAGCCTATGGTGCTGTATGTACCATGTGGTGTCTCTGAGCTTCTGTTTACTTTGATTTTCTTTTGTTTTACTTTGGTTTGTTTTGGTGTTTTTTTCCTTGGATAGTGATGTAGTTTAACAGGAAAGTACTACAGCTGTCCCTCTCCTCCCCCATGTGCTTCTTTCTGGTGTGTTGATTGCTTTGAGTTACTTCTCTGAAAACTTGAGCTAGAAAATGCAAGTACATATCTCTGCTTTACCCACTGGTTATGTTAAATAACATGAGATCACTGCTTAGCTAAAACATATGTATTTTAGCTTACAACATCAATGTTAAAGGCCTGTCTTTATTTCAGTTCTCTTATTGAGTCTGAACTGCTTTACATACGTACTGTTAATGCAAATTTTGAAATAGTAGGCAAACTAGTAGAAACCAGAGCGCTGGAGAAAACACTGTACACAACCACATCCATGCCAGCTTTGTGATGATAAATCAGTTCTGTTAATCTTAGCTACAGTTTTTTTTCTGAAATTAAGCAAAATCACAAAGCACTGAACCTTCTTGCAGGTCTGTCATGTGATGGTAAGGGATAGATTAGAGCAGTTGAAGGGGTCAATAAAAGGAAGGGGCCAATATCAAATTATGTATAGGTTTATGTATAGGTGACCTGGGGAATTACAGACCAGTCAGTCTCACCTCTGTGCCTGGCAAAATCTTGGAGCAGATTCTCGTGGCAGGCATGCTAAGGCACATGAAAAACAACAAGGTGCTTGGTGACAGCCAGCATGGCTTCACTAAGGGGAAATCCTGCCTGACCAATTTGGTGGCCGTCTATGATGGGGCTACAGAATGGATGGACAGGGGTAGAGCAGTTGATGTCATCTACCTGGACTTGTGCCAAGCGTTCGACGCTGTCCCACGCGACATCCTTGTCTCTAAATTGGAGCCACATCAATTTGATGGATGGACCACTTGGTGGATAAAGAACTGGCTGGATGGCTGCACACAAAGAGTTGTGGTCAATGGCTCAATGTCCGGCTGGAGACCAGTAACGAGTGGTGTCCCTCAGGGATCAGTGTTGGGACCGGTCTTGTTCAACATCTTTGTTCCTGTGGGATTGAGTGCGCCCTCAGCAAGTTTGCCGATGACACCAAGCTGTGTGGTTCGGTTGATACGCTGGAGGGAAGGAATGCCATCCAGAGGGACCTTGACACACTTGTGAGGTGGGCTGATGCCAACCTCATGAGGTTTAACCATGCCAAGTGCAAGGTCCTGCACCTGGGTTGGAGCAATCCCAGGCACAGCTACAGGTTGGGCAGAGAAGAGATTCAGAGCAGCCCTGTGGAGAAGGACTTGGGGGTGTTGGTCAATGAGAAAATGAACATGACCTGGCTTCAGGTGTGCACTCGCAGCCCAGAAAGCCGACCGTATCCTGGGCTGCATCAAAAGGAGCATGACCAGCAGGTCAAGGAGGTGATCCTGCCCCTCTGCTCTTGTGAGACCTCACCTGGAGTATTGTGTACAGTTCTGGTGTCCTCAGCACAAAAAGAACATGGAACTGTTGGAACAAGTCCAGAGAAGGGCCAGGAGGATGATCAGGGGACTGGAGCACCTCCCGTGTGAAGACAGGCTGAGAAAGTTGGGGCTGTTCAGCCTGGAGAAGAGAAGGCTGTGTGGAGACCTCCTAGCAGCCTTCCAGTATCTGAAGGGGGCCTATAGGGATGCTGGGGAGGGACTCTTCATTAGGGACTGTAGTGACAGGACAAGGGGTAACGGGTTAAAACTGAAACAGGGAAAGTCTATATTGGATATAAGGAAGAAGTCCTTTACTGTAAGGGTGGTGAGTCACTGGAATTGGGTTGCCAAGGGAGGTTGTGAATGCTCTGTACCTGGCAGTGTTCAAGACCAGGTT